GTAGTACAGCGGCTGGGAGCGATTCTGATGGTGAATGTGGCGACTCTACGTCAAGGATGGAGGAGGATGGTGGGGAGAGCTACGGCAAATGTGTGTGGTGCCCTGATGAAGCAGTGGAAGCATGCTTGGACTGTTATATGGGTTGTTGTCACGCATTGTGTGCAAACTGTGATATAAAAAGACACAATAAAAAGCTTATAGCAACTCACTGTAGGATACCCGTAGAACGATTTAAACCATTGAAACATGGACAGAAGGATGTAGAAATTCTGACAGAGACATTTGATGTTCCTTATGACAAATTTTATGTGTGTGAAAATCCAAGTGATAAATTAAATCTATGTGAGGGAAAAGCAACGCATGTCGTCTTTGAAAATTTCTGGGATAGTTTGCTGGGTAATTACTGTTACAAACAGAAAGTAAAATACCCGGAAGACAATGGTAGGCCCTACACAGTCATAATGCTGCACTACCAGGACAGTGTACCAACTGTGGAACATGAAGACATTTCCATGCAGCAGGACAATGAAACCAACCTGGAAAACAACACCAACGAAAGAACACCACAGTTCGCTATGGAACAGACCTGCACCACAGATACACAGAGAAAAAAAACCAGTCGAACCAATGCAAAGTCACACAAATGACCATAACAGTGATAATGTTATGATAAGGTTCATTTGAAAGCAAAACTGAGAACTGTGGAAGTGTTTAATCACACTTATTTGAATGAATTCATTAGGAGTGTGTGAAAGTTATCTTCCAGTTTCTCAATGTAAAGTAAAAGAGATAAACATGAATCTGTTGTTTCTGACACCGACATCGCTCGCTGGTAACTGGTGGAGGACCTGAGCAACGATCTCAGTACCTCTCACTTGGCATAAGATATATCAGAAAATAAGGATGTTGATATTGTAACACTCCTTTAATGGGCAAAGATGGCACGTTATTCCCTTTAGATGTGGAATGGTTTCAGCAGTTACCAATTAGTATTTGGTAAAAGTCCAAATTTACTAAATGTCATGAAAGCAGAATTGCCCGCTTTAGAAGGAACCATGTAAAGTGTACATTCAATCAGAGGTTCAAACCCGTCCGGGGACATATCAGTCCTTTATAAACGGTACCTGCTGTCTCCCCGCTTAGCACTCAGCACTAAGGGGTTGAATCAGGGGCCTGGTCTGGCAGTGGTGAAATGATACGTTTGTTAGCTCAGAACGCCTAATATGGCAGCCGGGCTGTATCCTCCCCAGTGAGGTGAGAGCGGCTTTAGAATGCAACAGGGCCAAAAATGACCAGGCTTCTCTGACTTAAATAAATTTCATTAAAAAAATAAATAAAAAGTATATATATCCCCATTTCTCTAGGGAAAAAACTCGGAGCGAGAAGTATATGAGAAACCACCAGCAGAGAGCAATACACCCGAGGGACTGATATGGAAGTTAAAACATGGGTTGTACAGGCTCAAAGATGGTGCAAGGCAATTTTTTATGTGTGAGGGACGAGTTGGAGAGCCTAGGCTTCAAGCAGTCAAAGTTTGACCCCTGCACTGTTCACTGTGATGAAAGATGAAAAGGATGAGTGCAAATAAGGGGGGAAAAGAGCCCACTTTTGTACATGAAAAATAAATTGTGAATGAATGGAAAAAAATTGATGCCAAATTAAAGTTGGGGTCT